ATGACACATGGAGATTTATTGCTGTACAATATATTCATTGTTAAAAAATTCTTGTTTTGAGAATATCATGAATCTGCGGATATCCATGTAGCCATGTATAGCTATATATATCCATTCATGCTGTGTGACATGTGCTTCCTAGTGCGTAGGAGCGTGTGACCAACAGCTGGAATAGTTATCGTGATCCCTCGCACACACATGTGGGACCACTTCACAATGTCAGTACAAATATCTATTTTATCTTCCACGGATCCTTCATAACCACCCAAGTGCTTCATATTTGCTGTATGATGGGTCTCAATATTTCCGTTTGTGTTTGCAACCACTTGTTCTTCCATGCCATCTGCAGATTTTCCCCCATCATTACTCAATCTTTTGTCCTGTTTTTTTGGCTTAATGATAAATCGGTGGATCTATTTACCATCTGTTGTTTCGTTATCACAAATATCACAATAACGTTTTTTATAATGTACGTTTTGTTTACTGATTTGTGTGTATTGAATTTCTGCAGTATCATATGAAGATCCATATCGTTAATTATTTTATTCTGACAACAAGTTGTTACAGATGCTGTTATTATGTTGTGTATATTTGCATCCTTTCTATTCTGGTATCATTTAACAAATAATGATGCCATTTAACAAAACAGTTTTCTGATAAATGAAAATTATGCTGTAATTTGTCACAATATTAAATATGATACTTTTCATAAACTATATAATGATTTAATCAGCATTACAAATCACAATATACATGTTTATGTTGCTATTTATACCTCACAATTTCAACCTCCTGACACAAATAATTACAAAGAACTCTGCCTGTTGTCTATCTCTCACAGGGAAACTCCATCTTTATGAATGCTACCATTTATCATTTAGATATTTTGCTACTTATGCTATTGTATTTCAACCTGACACAGGTTATTAGACATAATTTTGTCCACTTAGCCTGTTCTCCATCATTCTCTGTTGACCTTCCAGTGTTATCTTTCCCTATACATCTAGGCCAGGTCCCTTCTCAATCTATGGTTAGCTTAACGAAAACATGATGCAAATATTACATTTACCAGGCAATATATATGTTTCCAAAAATCTTAAAATCCATGAACATGCATGAACAGCAGCTAGAAAATTATTATTTGAAGATATAAATAAATGCATGTCCCATTTTTACTTTTTTTAATTGACAACTTGTTAAGCTTAAAAAGATTTCAAAAATGGTGCCAGATGTTACAAGATTTGTTAATTTTAGGAACAAGTCAAAATTTGAAAAGAAAAATCCACAGACACATGTTTCTGATTTCATTTTAAATGTTTAAGCAGGTTCATTTCCATCAATCAATATCAATTGCTATATCTGTTTCTTAAAGTTATTGTTAAGCCAGTGACATGTTGAAGATTTATTTAGGTCATTTCTGTAATAATTTAGGATTGGAGTTAAGGTCATTTGCTCAATAATTCAATTCCTGTATAGGGGGTCTAACTACACATTCACTCTAGTAGATAAGAACTCTACACCGTCTGATAAGCACAATCAAACTGTCTTGTAGATTTATGCTTACGTTGAGATATTTTTGGGAGGATAAAAAGATACCAACACTGACAAATTTATGTTTCTCCGAGACATTTCAGTAATAAGGCCGTAAGTGGTATATTGATGATGACACAGAAAGTTTACGGATAGAGTTCGGTTTTTGTTGACTGTTTCCATTGGAAATTTAAAAAAAAAAAGCCATTAGAAATTAACGTATAAAAAAGATGTCTGATAGAAAATATAATTAGTTTGTATGATAATTTGGGTTTCCATATTGGACCTATTTGTGTTTTGGTTAGCAGTGTAATGATATATAATGATATATAGGCCGTTTGTTTTTGTTGGAGTGTAGTCAACTCATTATATATCGGGTGTTGGCAGTACCATAGAGTGCGTCGTAGGTCGGATATAGAACGAAGCATTCACCTTCCTCATATAAGTTATTAAATAATTGACATTTCTTGTAGTGCAAGCACACAAAAATAGAAAGCTGATGCTCATAACAGTCAACATTCTCGTATAAATTTCTTCGCTGATGTTTTATATATATACACATGTATGCTTGTGTGTAATTAATAGTAAAATGTTGGAACCGATGCCAAGGTTACAGTCTAAGGAGCCAAAATATTTCCTCTCTTTAAATTCTAAAACTGAATGCATGATATATTAAGACGTTTTTCGTAGTTCAGGGTGGTATTTTTTGTTTTTAAAGACATACTGGCACCTTTGAATTTGTAATTTGATTGCGAAATGAAAAATTAAACCTGTCAAAGTTGTTTGAAATGTTACGTGATTAACTTGCCAGGATCAGGTTTTCTCTGTATACATACCCAAGTCTGAGCTTCCCTTGTCTGGCTCCAAGGAGGTAGGGTGAGACAAACGTCTCTTTACTGTTTTTATGCTATCAAGTTAACCTTATAATGAGATAATTGTAAAATGAGTGGATTTCATGGTGTATAGATTTAATTCAATTAATTGTTAAGTTCCTAGTAGTGGGAGATCTCTGTGCAGAAAATGGCTGAGTTTATCAGTGTAGCGTATAATGCCAGTCTGAGGGGATAATTAAAACCACTTTTTCTACATATCTCTAAAATTGTATTACCACTTGAATTGAGTTTGTGCGTAACAAAGTATGCAAGCATTATTCCCTTTGAGATTGTTTGTTAGCTTAAAGTAGTCATGGGGCTGTTTTGTTTACGTTTATAATAAGTCACATTGACATTATAGATAATATAGTTATCATGCTATGAAGTTATGGCCCCTGTACTTGTGTCCTAGTCATTTAACTCTTGATCAGGCACAATGTCATTAGAGGTCATGCTTGTGGAGGATACAATCAAGTTCAGTACAGCTCGGGAATAGCTGGGTCTCTGTACCTCCGACATATGTAGCAGCTTAGTTCACCTGGGATATTCCCTATAGTTCATACATTTGACTGGCTTTCAGCTGTCTTAATGACTATAATCTTGTCTTTGGACTTGAGCAGGCCTAATAGAGCATGTAGACTTGCTTAAGTGCAGATATATAGATTGAAAAATAATGATGATGTATAGATGTTTATACAAGTATATATAAGATTCTGTTCAATTTTTGCATGGGGAGAAACTGTGGCAAAATCTATAACATGTCATTAAGGTACTTAAACAATGAAAGGGATTGAGGCGGCTAAATTTGACAATATACAATAGTGTAAAATTATAGGTTACTCAAGCTGTTCTATGTAATAAATGTCATTTGAATTGAAAAAAATGCAGTATGTAGTGAATTCTGTTGACTTTTGAAGTAAAAAATTAATGTGAAAAAATCCCTCCGGAATAAAACAAAGCTTATGCAAGTAAATCTAACATTACCAAGTATGTATAAAGTTTATAAAGAGGACTTCTTCAGATAGAATGACAATGTTACGTTTCGTGTATTGGAACTTCAAATCTGTGCAGGGGTACCATAATTGCACTGTAATTACATTATATAAGCATACTAAACACATATTTGCTGTATAGGCACTTATCAGACGCCAGGCGCTGGGTGTCAAGTGAAAGTAAAAAACCTGGAACTTGTCATGTGACCTTGTGTTGGTCACATGACTCCCCAATGTTTTCCACGCCCAGTTTGGTGTATTAATGAATCACATGTTGAATGTACTATGATTTCCTGCTATCAGGTTATTATGTTATCTTGCAAGCAGCTATAGAGTAAATACTCCCTGGAGGGTATTTATAACCATATGGCTACTCCATCTTCCCTCAACACCTTCCCTGACCTCAAGGCCCTGTCTTTTCTCCATAGCACCCTCCAACTTTAAGGACTTCCTCAGGGTTTCCACAAGGACCCCCTCTAAAGTCCCACAAACGTTCCTTTGCAGAAGGTCCCCTATGGCTCTTCCATCAATGATAAGGGGAGCAGACATTAGACAAGCTGAGCTAATTATTTAGTCAACAAGACCAATATTTGTATACCCCCTAGCCAGCTGAGATAGGTCAGAAATAAAAATATTTATTTAGCCTCCTACAGAGGTTCAGGTGATGGGGGATTTACCCCCTCCCCTGTGCACAAGGTAAATTGAAAGAATCACACAGGCCAAGAAACTTCTTTCTTTTTCTCGCAATAGCAGATACATGTAGTAATATACATGTAATACATTAATTACACCAATATACAAATGTACAAGATACTCCTTGCATAGCTTCCAATTTGTATACTTAGATAAGTATGTGTTCTTGTACTGTTAAAAAGACCTGTGCGCAAAATGCGAATGAGCAGCGTAGAATGTGGTTATTTTTGGCAGCAATGCCACGTTTATAAAGTGATGTAACTACAGCCAAGTATGCGGTGGTGTTAATCAGGACAATACACCTGACAAATCACGCTTGTCATCATCCTCATTTACACCTTAAACCATTGCCCTCCCATTCTAACTCATTATTCCGGAGTTCCCTCGTCCACCTCCTTCCTCCCAGCCCTACTATACATCTCTACCCCCTTTCTCCCAGTTGCCTCCCCTCTCCTCTCAACTTCAAACCCATTTTCTTTCTTGATGTCTGCAGCATTTGTTTAATACATGATCACATTTCTATTTATATGTTTTGGTGAAAATGGGCTTAAAGGATTGCTTTGTCCCTGTTACATTTTATTAGCAATATATATCCAATCATAAAAATGTTTGATTTCTCATTAAACAAAACAGCAACCAACAAAATGAATGTTATCTTATAATTAATTGACATTTTGGAGAAGCAAATTCAGAGTTCAATTTTGCTTTTATCGTTGAAAAAGTATACGTGTAACAGTCTGTTTAGCTAATTAGCTATACATGTATTGAAGAGGATTCAAATGAATGTGGTGTGTGAGATTTGTTTTCTTTTTTTGAAGTAATTATATAACTTTACAGTACTCAACAAATAAAACACAAATGCAGTCAAATTGCAGTTCATTGTTTTGACCTTTTCCTTCTTTATATTTTGCAGTCTTTACTGGCAAAGGCTGTCTATGACAATTATGCGGAGACGCCGGATGAGGTGGCGTTTCGTCGAGGTGATGTCCTGACAGTGTTAGAACAGGACACCGGCGGACTCGAGGGATGGTGGCTGTGCTCCTTCCGCGGAAAACAGGGCATAGCCCCGGGCAACCGATTAAAGCTGATAACGGGGATGCATGAATCGGGGGACATAACTCTGGATAACAGTCGGATGGATAGTTCAAGCATCGATATAAGCAAAATGGTAAATACATTCTTTCAAAAATATTTTACAGTCAATGTTTTATACTGATCAGATTGTTTTTTTCAATCGTATTACAATTATGCATGAATCATAGTGGATGTTTTTCTTTTGTTAGAAGAGGTTAATATTACAGCATTGACNGGGGAGGGGGGGGGGAGGCATGTATATCTAAATATGTACATACAGCTCTAAAAGGTAGACATTAGTTTTGTGGAGGTGTGTGTCACAATGGGACATCAAATCACACTATATATAGTCCAAGAGTGATCATTAGGGGCAGTGATAACCTGTACCTGTATATAGATGTACTTGTCAGGTAAGCATTTCATCACCAGGCTCTCAGGTGGTAAGACTTCTAATATAATTCCATGTGCGTAGTAGATCGGTCGACACACCTGTGTCACACAATGTACACATTGACAACTTATGACATCTTAAACCCATCCTTATAAACTCCGCACAAATATCATAAAATGAACAATCCCTTAACTTGTGTTTCAGTTTTATATTTCATAATGATAAAGATGCAGGTGTTTTAACAAAAATTATGAAAATTGATCTAATGGGTCTGTAACATATGGCATAGCAGAAATATTTATGTTTCATTACGTAGGCTTTGTATAGACAGAGCTATTGTTTATTGTTTCTCGTTATACTATAAGATTATATTCATATAAATGACTAATGGAGGGATATTATATTCTTTAGAAATACTTTTTTAAGGTTTCACTATACCAAAAGCCTTCCAAGGTCAATCCTGTTTCAATAGTAGCGGAAGTCTTCACAATGTAGCTTTGTACAAAGTGCTTACAGCTTCTTAAGTCAATTAAACAATAAATATCTTTAGAATAAGATAAGGCTTTTCCATCGTAAACAAATTTGAACATTTTCTAAAACTTTTAACTTATATTCTCTTTCCATCTGTAACTCGATAAAACAATGTCATCTTTGTCAGTGTTTGGATGAAGAAGGCTGGGTTTTATAGAACTTTTGTACAGATTTGTTCTGTTAAGCCGTCTTAGTGTAACGGTCCCATGTGTTCATTTATGTCGAGTGTCTCAGACCTGTTGAACTCTGGCCCCATTCACAATCCACATGCAAACTGCAGTCAAGCAGATTATTAATATGCTTTCTGGCTGTAGCATCAGGTAGTTACTTCCTGCTCAGGGAGAGCAACATAACCTGGTATCAGATTCTCTGGGATGCAGAAAAGTTTGCGGCATTTGCTCAAGATGTATACGACATCCATAAATGGCAAAGTCCTGAATGATGGAGATGCATTATGATAGCTAGCAATTGCAGGCTTTTCTATGATGCAGACAGAAGATGACACAAGGCCGGCACGAAATAAAAATTCAAGCAAACTTTACACATATCTCGCCCAACATTTTAACACACTTATGAGTTTAAGTTGCTTGGGCAAAATCAGAGTCAGCAGAATATCCTGTGTATGAAGACATGTAGAGTTTGTATGATACAGACTGATAACTTAACAAAATCTAAAGTTAAACCAGTCATTATGGTACAGCAGTGTGAATATTGAAAGAATTTACTTATTTTAAATTATAAATCTGTACGACACAAGATTTGAAATAGTATGTGCAGTTTGACTTCAATATTCATCATCAAAGTTATAAATGATTTGATGAGGTGACTTGGGGAGGTAAATAGAACAGCTGTTATAGGGTCATGTGAGGACAGGTCCTGTATATCATCTGTCCTACAGAACTACTTCTACACAGATGTCACACAGATAGTGTTTTACTTCTGACAGATCTCATGTCAGATCACACACTTCCCTTTGGGCAAAGCAATGAACAAAAAATCAGGGGATGAAAAACAACATTTTTTACCTCATTTTTTATCGCAGGTAAATCTGTTTCCATATGCCCACCGGGTACGAAATCAGGGAGGAAACAAAGTATTTTTAGCACAGGTTTCCACGACTTCCAGGCACCATTAGTTTGCTATAATTACATTTGTACTGTAGAGGTTCACAACATCAGAGTACACGATAAATGAAACACAGAAATGAAAGGTTTTCAATATTCACAGGTTGTCAATTTGTGATAATAACATATTGTATACAGATGCCCAAATAAGATAGGGTTCTAATTTTATGATGTTTATGAAAAGTAGATCACAAATCTTTCAAAACCAGTTCTGTAGACACAGGTTCTGGTTTCCATTTCATTACTTTTCTTTTTTTTTTTATCTTTGGTCAACATAAATAGGTGTTATTTCATGACAGTCGGTTTAATTTCTACCCCGTGAGATTTTGGTATTCAGTATTGTTTTCTGTAAAAAAGTTATGTAATGGACTGTAGAGAGAAAATGACAGGATTATTATCCCTGTTAGATAAGAAAGCAAGTGTGTATAATGTATCTTATCTCACAGACTGCTGTCAAAGTAAAAGATTAAGGTATATCAAATTTGGTGCAAATTTTAAGAAAAGCTTTAGGACAACGCCTTCCTCAGATATTTAAAGGAAGATAAGGGTCAAGTCTTCTCGTAAGATTTTGCCTGTATGCAGCGATATGACAGCTTGACCTTCCTTTGTGGGCAGGTCTGGGGTGGCCTTTGTGATTGAGTGTTGGATCGTAATGGACCCAGTAATTTGAAACCTTGAAGAAGAGATCTACAATACATATGTCACATTGTGACTGTCAGTCTTGTGTAGCCCACTGAGAGGCTTAATAATATACACTCTGGTGGTTTGAGAGACAGAACACACCTCTATATGACGACTTGGTGTAGAATCTAACTAACCTGTTACAAGTGTATACACCCTGGGTTACCCGAAGGTAGACAGATCTACAAGTGTCATATTTAGGCCACTATATAGGCTAGGTGTATTTATTGGTCTGATATATTTACCCTTATCGTAATGCCAGTCAAATTGAAATTTAAAGCTACATTTGCCTTTGTGTACAATTTGTATTGTAATAAACTTATCAGCTTTGTGTGTTTTGCGAGAGATTTTGATTTACTGGTGGGGATCTGATTAGGGCTATATCTGTAGATGGTTATAATACAAGATGCCATGTATTTAAAGCGTTATTAGACTGTCAATTTATCTAAATTTTTATATTTTATTTTAGTGCTGACCGAAACATGTATTTTCCTAATCTTTGCTTCATTATAACTATTTTAAATCCAAATAGTCTAGAGTTTTGTTTAGAGTTTTGTTAATAATTTCTATATCTAAAAAAAAAAAAATTAAACATTTTTTAGCAAAGAGTAAACAGTGCTATAAACATAAAAAAAGTTGGAACTGCCAGACAACTCATTAAGACATATGCTGCAGTAGACATTTTAAACGTTCGACACAGACACAGACAACTCTGATTTTTTCAGCAAATCATGTACATGTGACCTTAATGAAAACCTTCACAGTTAACAGGAAACTGGAAATTTTATCAATGTTGTATATCTTCAGGAAACCAAAATCTTTCCAGAATTTATCTCAAGAGATAAAATGGAAATTGAAATCCTGAGCTCTGGCAGAACACTAAACAAAAAGTAAACATTTTGGCTACTTAAACCCATTGGAATTGAAGGATATTTTATGAACCTGCTTTTAAGTTTTGAATTTTTGTCTGTCTGGGTTGAAAATAGAACTTGGGCAGATCTTTTACAAGTGGAATGTGGCTACTAAACCTTGTATTAGCCCTGGAGGGACAATTTAAGTGTTATTCTGAATCTCTATCTCATCCAACAAACTGTCTAGAAATGGAAATTTTATAATCCCAAAAAAATTCTTCGTGAAATTCAAATGTATACACAATTTGTTCCTGATCCAAACCACTGACAATGTTTACTATTGGCTCCTGTACTGATAAGAATATTGCTCATCTGTATTGAATACAGGTAGTAGGTACCTTCACTTAAGGACAAACATTCGATCGACCATGTATGGTTAGATTATCATTGTAAATGACCAAACCATGCTGGATATAAATTAAGTCAAACTTAAATTAAAAAAATAGTCTTTTTTTCGAATTTTTACATAATGTTTATGAAATTTTGACTTTTGACATCTTGGTATCTGCTGGTGTATATAGGAGTTGGTAACCATAAAGCTAACAATACATAGTATAGTTACAGGTCACACACCTGGACAGGTAAATAAAGGAGCTCACACTGAGGGGATCCATCTTCTGTCTAATCAGTTACAGGGGTACGAGCTGGTCGTTGGTCCCTTCACGTTTAAATATATCGGTCAAACATGGGCAGCTCCAAACACAAATAACGTGAAATATATACTCAGGTTTGTGTGTAAGTAGACCCAGCTAACCTTTGTTATTAGATTTGCTTTTGAGACAGAAGTAAAAATGAAATGCAAAATATTGTCATTTCTACTTCCTGTCATAAATTTTATTTCCAATGTTGCAATCTGTTACATTTTGGAAAACAATTGTGATTGTTACAATTGCATTTAAAATTTTGTTTGAAAAATCTTTAAACGGGGATTGCGTGGGTACAGGACACAATTTTGCTCCAAAATCCATACAGAAAATATCCTATGTTATATCCATGTGTCACTTCCATTCATTAAATATTCAATACTATTTCAATTAATATGGGAATTTTTACACCTTTATAAAATCAGCCCAAAAATATACTACAGGAAATTGCCTAATCATGTGTTGTCGCTTCCTCCACACAATTTTGTAGTTCGCGATGTGTGTTTGTAGTCACACCCACATATCTCCTTATGGTAATTCTAGGATCAACAAACAGCATACCTGACACACCTGGAATAGCCACATGTGGTCATATATTAATATGTTCGACTCTTTATGACGTCCTCTTGTACAGATGGCAAGCCCCAGAGCTTGCAATCGAAACAAATTTAATTTATGCAGATATGGGACGTACCTATATAGTTTACATCATGAATAACAAGTCTGCATAAAATTTCAAGCTGGTTTTCACGAACTCTTGTCATTTTTGTTTTTTTTATATTATTATGTATGTATAATGTTCATGTACGTTT